TAATTTATTCCTTTTGATCATATCCCATATGATCCTTACTTAGGCTTTCTTCATTTTGTTTTGATCCTTTTTCTTATTGATTCCTTTCCAAAGTAGTATTCAGGTATTTGTCTTCAATCTCACTAATTCTGTCTTCCAGTGATTCAATTCCACTCCTTTTCCTGTTCAATGTATTATCTATTTCTGACCATTTAGTATTAATCTTCTGGATTTCTATCTGTAGATTTTGTATCTTTTCTAATTTTTCATTTATTTTGTCATTTTGTTCTTGTACTTTCTTTCAAATTTGTTCTAGGGTTTTCTCCAGTTTTGTCAGTGTTTTCCTTGATTTGTCTCTCAATATGTTGAAGGTACCTAAATACAGTTCTTTTGAATTCCTTATCAGGGAGTTCCAATGCTGCATCTTCCTCAGGGATGTGTTCTAGATCTGTATCCTGGTCCTTTGTTTCTCTTTCTTTATCTTGTTTCCTTCTGTGGACTGTGATGCTCTGTTGTCTCCAAGACATTGTGGTGTTTTTGTGTTTATATTTACTTGGTGATTGTATGTTGAAGTGACTTGCCCACAATTTTTGTTTTCTTTTGATGTTATCTACATAAACAGGGCACTATACTCCTCTATTCATTAGTTGGTTGCACTTACACACTCACCATCTTTCTCTTTTCCTGTTGTCAGTCTTCCATATATTCTTGCTGTCCTTGACTAATGGAGCCTATTCTTAAGTCCCTGAAATCCAAATGAGAATGCTATCACTTTAAACAAACTTGTAATCATTCAAAATGGCTTCACCCTTGGTCACTTTAAATATCCAAAATGGCCACCACTTGTAAACAATCAAAATGGCTGTGTCCTCTGGACAGCTGAAAGTCTACAGCTCAGGTTGTCTGCCTCCTTGCTGTTTCCCTTCCTAGTCATAGGCCATCAGTGCAGTGGTTCCTACAGCCCTTGGTGACCGGTACTGATCTTTAGGTCAATTCTCAGGTCCCAACACCAGTTGGAAATATTCAGGCTGTTTGTGCTATAAGAGTAGCTGACAGTCTGCAGCTCCTTCCCTCTCCGTACGCACTGTTTTCATTCAGGTTTTTCCACTAGTTGGTGCCTAATCCACTTGGGTATAGTTCCTTTCAAAGTTCAGGGTTCCAGGATTATCTTCTGTATCTCTGTTGATTGGTTTCTCTTTTCTTTGTTGAAGAAGGTCTGTAGCTTGTCTGCCTATTCCACCATCTTACTGGAAGTCTATAATTTGTCTTTTAAGCACAACTTTTGCTGTGATCCAAAGATTTTGGTATGTTGAGTATTCTCATTTGATTCATGGAATTTTTAAAAATTTTAAAATTTTCCTCTATTATTCTGTAGTTTTTAAGGAGGGTGTTATTTTTTTCCCCAAATGTTTGCTTTTTTATTTTTTTTTTTTAAATCTTTTGTTGATTTCTAATTTTATAGCATTATGATCTGAGAAGATGGTTTGTAATGTTTCGGTGTTTTTAAATTTATTGAGGCTAGCTTTGTGGCCAATGTGTGGTTTATTCTGGAGAATATTCTATGTGTGCTGGAGAAGAATATATATTGTGCTGTTGTTGAGTAAAGTTTTCTGTATATGTCTTTAAGGTAAAGTTGGTTGATTGGATTGTTTAGTTCTTCTGTGTCTTTGTTGACTTTCTTTCCAGTTATTCTACCCATCATTCAAAGTGGTGTGTCAAAGACTCCTGCTATTACCGTGGAGTTGCTTATTTCTGTTTTCCATTTTGTTCAAGTTTGATTTATGTATTTTTGAGGCTCTTCCATTTTGCTCATACATATTTATTATAGTTATGTACTCTTATTTGATTAAACCTTTAATCATTATGTAATATCCTTCCTTGTCTCTTATGGTAGTTTAAAGTCTATACTGTCATAAATTAATATTGCCACTCCTTTTCTTTTTGATAGCTATTTGCTTGATATATTTTTTCCAACCTTTGATTTTTAGTCTATTTATGTCTTTGTGTCTAAGGTATGTCTCTGGTAGACTCATTTTAATGAGTCATTTTTTTAAATCCATACTGCAACTCTCTCTTTGTTATGTATTTTTTCATAGTGCTGCTGACTTCTTTTTTCCATATAATTTTCTGTGCTGAACTCATTTTTTTAAAAAAATTATTTTCTTCATTGCCATTGTTTTAATGTTTGCTGTATATGTTTACCTTTCCTCTTTTTTATTTTGATGAGAATCTTTATTTAATTCTTTGAGGTTACCCTACCACATCCATTTTTTGAGGTCTCAACATTTGGCCAAGAAAATTACCTGGGGACATAACCGGTTATTAATATATGCCTATTAAATGAATCATTGGCTGGGTCCTTAGCATGAACTATAAAGCTCTTTTCATAGTACCTTTGAAATTTGTCAGTGATACAAATGGTTGACACAATGGACTGAAAGGTTGGAAGTTCAAGGTCACCCATCAGTGCCTCAGAAGAAAGGCTTGATGGTCAACACTGAAAAATAAGTCATTGAAAATCCTGCAAAGCACAGTTCTACTCTGACCTATATTGGATTCCCGTTCGTTGGAAATGACTCTTTGGCAATTGCTTGGTTCTTGACATCTTTATTTATCATTTTATCCCCTTTGCACACCTTGCTTTGTCACTTGAATCTTTTCCTCCACTTAGATTACACAGCCCTGCATCCTGTCATCACTTCTCAGTGCACTTGTGGGAAACCTATCCACCTTTCAAGGATACTCTTTCTTTCTCTGAATCCCTCCTAGATTTGCCTTGTATGTTCCTTTGTCAAACTCCCCACTTTCCTTTTACTTATGTTTTGGGGATGATATTGTACATATTACTGGTATTTAACAAGTGTTTGTTAATTTGAACTGAATTCTAAGGTTTATTTTTTCCTTTTGCAGATCAAACCAGTGGTACATTGTGATATAAATGTGCCTTCCAGATGGCATACATTTAATCGTATATCCCGACATATAAAGTGAGTACAATAATATTAAAACTGGAGATTGCCTTTGCTTCTTTGTCCTAGTTTCTTAGTAGAGCTATAACAGAAATACTACAAATGGGTGGCTTTAACAAACACATTTATTTTCTCACAGTTTAGGAGGCTGGAAGTTAGAGTTCTATGTACTGGCTCTAGGGGAAGACTGTCTTTTTCTCTGTCAAGTCTGGGTAAAGGTCCTTGTCTCTTCAATTTCTGTTCTATGATTTCTTGGCTATTGTCCTGTTGCATATATCTTCCCCTTCATTTGTGCCTCCTGTGCTCTTTTTATATTTCAAAGGTGATTGGTTTTAAACACCTCCTAAAATGAAATATTGTCTCATTAACATAACAAAGACAGTCTTATTCCCAAATGGGATTGTATCCACAGGTATAAGAGTTTAAGATTTACAACATATACTTTTTCTATAGCCTGACAACACTCTTTTTGACCCTTTTTCTCTCCTCACCCCTCCTTTTCTACCTCATTCTCTCTTTAAGTGTAATTCTTCTTTCATGATCACCTTCTCTGTGATTTAGTCTTTCAAGTGCTCTATATTCTTTCTTTTGAACCCTGATTTTGGGTAAGCAATCCAATTACTAACGCATTTTTTTACAGAACAGTTTATGTGGGATGGATAGGTAAGAGCAGCATAAACACAATCTAGTCTTAGACATTAAATTGTTTGATTTCACAACTTTTTAATCTAGCCATTATAACTACTGAATTTTGAAAGGAAATTTAAAAGTTATTTTTCACACATGAACTTTTACTTCCAAAAGGTCTTTTAGGATTACAGTGCATTGTAGTCAAATTCTACCTCAGAAATGGAATTTGTCAGAGGGTCTACTGCTGCTGTCCTGGGAAGCCATTGCTGATTTAGGCATATCTTTACTCAGTAAAGGAGCTCTGGTAGTGTAGTGCCTAAGGCACTTGACTGCTAACCAGAAGGATGGCAGTTCAACCCACCAGCCACTCCTTGGAAGGAAGGTTGAGCAATCTACTTCCACAGTGATACTGGTTTGAAACCCAAGGAGTGTTTACTATGAGTCAGGTCTGATTCTATGGCACACAACAACAACAACACTATTGTAAAAAGTCAAGAAAAGGACTTCACAAAGAAGAAATATTGTTTGATGGTTACCAGGGTGGATGTAGAAAGGAGGGTAAACCACTAACTAGAGGGTAGACACATATTAACTTGAGTGAAGGAAAAAAAATATGCTATAAATATTCACATACTGGTTTATGTGTGAACTTAAATTTTCAGATAAGTCGGGTGAATATCTAGGATAATATTGTAAGACTATGTTTAGCTTTGTAAGAAAATTCCATGCTATTTTCTAAAGTGGCTATTAAATATGTTGTTATGTGCTGTTGAGTCGGACCTGACTCATAGTGACCCCTCCTTGGGTTTCCAAGGCAGTATCACTACAGAAGTAGATTGCCCCGTCTTCCTTCTGAAGAGTGGCTGGTGGGTTTGAACTGCCAGCCTTCTGGTTAGCAGTCAAGTGCCTTAGGCACTACGCTACCAGAGCTCCTATATAT